AAAGTGATATCCTTTAGCTTGAAATTTTCTCTTGGGGTGGTGGATTTTGCTTCAATTAGAGCAAGTGATGAGTGCTATAGTAAGCAATTATTGTTGTACAGTGCTCTAATTGTTATTCCCACTTGGACCAGCTGAATCTAACCCTAGAAACTCATGGGTGATGGAATACATACTGCTAACTGAGTGGTTTTTTGTAAAGGGATCCCATTGTGAAGACTGATTTTCCACTGTACACTATTGAATAAAGTCTCTCTTCATTCTTTGAGAGATTCCTCTATCCCACAGATATGCATAAGTTAAAACTTAGCATTACCCAGCTGAAATGTGAACACATGCAAGAAAATAATGCCCCAAATAACATCTGCAGGTGTTTGGCTGACTTATATTCATTCCTCGTTTGCATCATTCATATGATACAGCTATCTTTTCTACCCATTTTACCAGGATATCCATTTCCATTGTTTTGTTCATCAAGGCAGGGAACAAAATCATCATCCTATGAGACTCCCTTTAAGTAAAAAAAAAAAAGTAAAAAAAGAAAGAACTCTAGAAATACATAGTTTATGATCTTTAAAATCTTAGGAAAAATAATCTTTGTTGAGAGTGAATTATTTAATTTAATATAGAGTAGTTTCAATATAATTCCGTGGCAGCCAACATTTAGGAGTCCATAAATTATTGCTCTGCATAAATAATGTGGAAAAAAGTCTTTAGAAATGAAATCACGATCACCATTTAAAACGAGCTTAATATCTACATTTACTGTGATTTTACAAACTGGTGAGGAGAAATTTCCTAAATTGATTTAACATGTTGCTGATTTATTTTTTAATTTTTTTTAAAGATTTATTTATTTATACAAGAACTGGGGTATAGCCAGAGGCGCGGGAGGATGAGAGAATTCACTAGAGACAGAGCAGGGAGCAGAACAGGCAGACACACCGAAGACACTGCTGAGGGGAACAGTGGGCAAGGCAGGAGAGGTCTGCCTCAGGGTTTCTCCCTGGCGGCCGGGAATCAAACCCGTGCTGCAGAGGCTGCCAACAGCTTCTTCACAGGGCAGCGCTCAACCCGCTGAGCCACTGGGGAGGCCCCTGCTGATTTATTTTAAATGCTAAAATACTAGGTCAAGGTAATATCTGCAAAAAGACAAAAAGTTATATTTTAATTATGTCTGTATTAGTCTAGACTGAATTACTGTGTCTAATGTTCAAGCCCATGAAGTCTGCTTTTCCTTTTGCACATTGTAACAGGTACTACCTGTGTTCTGAGGAATAGACAGCAAATTAAAACAAAAATCTTGCCTCTATATTTTTCACTCCTGTTGTGATTGTAAATGGTTTGTCATTTTTATTTCTGCTCCCCATTTCAATAAGTTATTTGAAAATCTTTAATATCTCCCTCCACTATCCTACTTGGAAAAACTACACTGTGTAGAAGAGCATCTTTAGTTTCATCAGAAAGCAACATTTTCTTCTCTTTCCATTTTGACTTACTGGAGAAGGAAAAATCGTTCATGAATTGGTATTTGGTAAGTGTAACCTCATTTGGATATCAATGGAATCAGGCCAGAATTTGGAGATCCTGGCTCAGACTTTGTTTTCATGTTCAGATAAGTTAAATATAATGGCTCCTATTTATTTAGCCAGGCACTATTCTATACACTTTACATATGTTAATTATTTTAATATTCACAAGAATTCCGTGTGCTAGGTACTATTATTGTTACAGAGCAGGGAGACCGCGCAAACCTGCCTGCACTAAATAGGTTTTGCCATCCGCCACATCAGCACAAAACATGTTAGACTTTAATGGGAAGGAACTTTAATACAATTAGTAAACAATACAGGAAAGGCAAAAACTATAGTTTCTAAATCAAGCACCCAAAGTCACCCATCCCCTCGTGGGTAAAAGTCCACCCAGCAGGATTGGCCCAGAGCAAGTCCCGAAAGCCTGCCACAAGTCTAAAGCACTTTTCAGTGGGGGCCCACAGAAAAGAATAATAAACAACCAGACAAGTCTGGGAGGAAAAGAGCAAAATCAAAATCAAGACAAAAGTTGCCATTGTCACCTCCCCACGGGTCTCTCACTCACATCTGTGTCACCCAGTCCACGACCAAAAGGCAAGTGCAGTTTCTTCACGTGTCTCTCTGCACCATGTGCCTCTTCTAGGTCTCCTTCTGGCTCTCCATCCTGCCTCCTTCGTTCCACAGCAGCTTCTTCTCCTCCCTGCTCAGCTCCACCCTCCTTCGGGTGGGGCAGGAAACCTGAAAATTTCCTTTTTCCTGGGGGCCACTGTTACATTATGATTCCTGATTTACAAGATAAAGGGAAAATGCTATTATCCTAGTGTAGGGTCAGGAATGACCACTGAGCAGGTTTTCTAGGATCCCATGCAGACCGGGTAAAGGAGGAATTCTGGAGCCCTCAAGGGTTTGGCAGGTTTTTTGCTAGGGTTCACCAGGCATATGGCAGGCAGGGGTACTGAGGGGCCGGGAGGCTGGCAGGCCTCCCAGCCCCCAGCAGGTCTTCACTCTGGGCTCTTCAGCCTTCTCTCTTGGCTTCTCTTTTGGCTTCTTCTGGCGTCCCAGTGACGCCGCCCTTAAAAAGCACAGTCTTAGCCCAGGTGAATCCCATCTACCTATGCCCACACCCTGTTCCAGGTGCCCGCCATCAGGCATGCATTCAGGACCGCAAGGATCCATCATCTATCCTGCTGGCAGGAGGGCAGAAAAGCCTGACATTTTTCCTTACCCTACACCTAGTTATATCAAGAAGCTGAAACCTAGTTAAATTGAGGTTAAGTTACTTGCCCAAGGAACACAGTAAATGGCAAAGATAGAAGTTGAATTGGATTATACTATACTCTCTCTTAGCTGCCAGATCAGGTTGTGAGAATAGATAATTCTGTTAAAGACACATCATACTGAACTTCATCTTAAAGTGGTCTATAAGTAAGGATTATTGTCATTTCCATTAAGACATCAGGGAAGGAAGAAGGCATGGCACTGAGAATGGGAGGTAAGGAGTCTGTGTGGATCTTGCATATTGTCAACAGTGCTTTGGAATGAATGAATGAATGAATGAATGCATGCATGATTATTGACCTTAAGGCAGGATAAAATTAGACATGATTATAGAAATCCTATATAAGGGTATATAATGTTCTAAGAGTATCATGTATGTCCTGCTCCAATTATGGACCTATAGTTTGTTCAATAGTAATAATAAAGTTAAAGTGTTTTGGATTAGGAGAAATGAAAAGAGACAATATGGAAAAGTTCTTAAAGATGTTAATATTATAAGAATCCCCATTTGTTTACTTATAATGGTACTAGCATGAAAACAAAAAGAATTGGAAAGAATTGTCAGGGTATCATTTAATAATGTTTATAACTAAGCTTCTATCTCTTATGCTGTAGAAAGGTTTGGGAGGCTCGAATACCTAAAAACCTAAAAGGAATTGATAAGGTTGCTATGGGAACCAGGCTACAAGACTGATAACTTTGACCAGAATTCATAAGCAGGACCAGGTCACGTTCTGTGTCAAAGGTCAATGCCCAAGAACAGACATCCCAGCAGATAATAGGCCCAAACCATCACCCCTAGTCATGGTGAATTCTTTCACCTTGCACCTCTGGCCTCACCCTGATAGTTCTCTGCACTACAAGAATAAGAAAAGGAAAATAAATCCATATGAAAATGTCCACTTGTTGCAAATCTTCATAGTTTAATGAAAGAATGAACGTTCTGGGATTTATTGGAGTTAAAAAATGATGATATTTAGGAAATGCTAGCTGGAGACAAATAATTCCCGAAAGTAAAACTAACAGAATTTGTATAAGAATGATCAAACATATTCTTCTAACTTAAATACCACTAACGGGTAAAATTGTGAGAAAATAATTCTAATTGTTTGAGTAACTTTAGGAGAATCAAGGATTACAAGTGATATTTATTTATTCATTAAAAAGATTTATTTATTTATTTTTAAAGATTTATTTATTTTATACAAGCACTAGATACAGTCAGAAGTGGGGTAGGGTGAGAGAATTCACCAGAGCCAGAGCTGGGAGCAGAGCAGGCAGACTGATGAAGTACACTGCTGAGGGGAGCAGCGGGCATGGCAGGAGAGGTCTGCGTGCCATGTGGGACCCTCCGCAGGCGGCCGGGGATGGAACCAGTGCTGCAGAGGCTGTGGACAGCTTCGCAGCCCAGCGCTCAACCGCTGCGCCACCAGGGGAGGCCCTAGATTTATTTATTTTTATACAAGAACTGGAGTACAGGCCAGATGCATGAGAGAGTGAGAAGATTCACCAGATACAGAGTAGGGAACAGAACAGGCAGACTGACCAAATACACTGCTGAGGGGAGCAGTGGGCCAGTCAAGAGAGGTCTGCTTCGCCATGTGGGATTCTCACCCGCTGGCTGGGATCGAATCCGCACTTCAGAGGCTGAGGACAGCTTCACAGCGCGGTGCCACCAGGGAGGACCCACAAGTGATATTTAAATTATAGAGACGGGGCCTCCCTGGTGGCCCAAGGGGTTAAAACACAACCTATAAAGCTATTCTCAGCCTCTGCAGCACCAGTACGATCCCTGGCCAGGGAGGTGACCCTCATGACGCAGCAGACTTCTCCTGTCTCGCCCACTGCTCCACTCAGCAGTGTATTTCGGTACATCTGCCTATTCTGCTCCCCACTCTTTCTCTGGTGAATCCTCTCACCCCCACACTCCTGGCCTGTACCCCAGTTCTTGTATGCATAAATAAATAATTCTTTAAAAAAATTGAATTATAGAGACAGTATAAGTCAGTGACTAACAGGTGAGGGAATCATATGTTGAATGAGCTCCACCCACTCATGTTTTCTAAACTCCACTCCCACCTTCATGGCAGAGGTCCCAGACCTAGAAAACTACAACTCCCATCATGCCATGTACCTGCCGTGACTCTTGACTTCTGGGAGCGGGGGTTGCTGGGAATCAAGGGTGAAGTTCAATGCTCTTAAAACTGTACACAATTGGGCCTGGAAACTTGGTTTTGCCTGCTCCAGCGAGCACCTGGGGTCCCAGCTCAAGGGGCGTTTAGGGTAGGACTAGTGACCAATTAATCTCTCTATATCGTTCATTCTCCGTACCCCTCTTCATTTCTCTTGTTGATAAACCTTTTATTAACCTTTCTTTGCGTGCCTGCCCTTGGGGCTTGTTCTGACTTTTTTTTTAAGCAAATGGGCTAGGAGTCACACCCAGCTCTTCCCATTTCCCCTGGGGTTGCCCTGTAGCATGAGCACATGGCCTGTTTTTTTTTTTAAAAGATTTATTCATTTATGCCTACAAAACCTGGGGTGTCGTGGGGTGTGTGTGTGAGAGAGGATTCACCAGAGACAGAGTGGGGAACAGAACAGGCAGATCTACTGAAATACACTGCTGAGGGGAGCAGTGGGTGAGGCAGGAGAGGTCTGCTGCACCACCTGGGTCATTTCCCAGGCAGGGATCAAACTCATGCTGCAGTGGCTGCAGATAGCTTCATAGTGCTGAGACTTAACAAGACTTAACCCCTTTAGCCATCAGGGGGGACCCAGCATATGGACTTTGAAGGGAGAATACCTGTGTTTGAATTCCCATTCTGCCACTTCCTTGCTGTATTTCATTGGGGAGGCTTTTTATATGTATGCTACCTCAATTTCTGCATCTGTGAAATGAGTTTAGCTTATCTCAAAGGGTTGTTGTGATGAATAAATAAGCATGTGAGAAGTAATTAAAACAGTCCTTGGCATATAATAAACACATTAGCTATTAAATTATCATAGAGAATGCTATTTCCAGGCTTTCCTCTAAAATCCTGAGTAAAAAGTTGTTTTGAAAAAGATGTTTTAAAGGCCAATACGAATAGAATGAAATCAGAAGAATGAAATCAGTTACAGAAATCAGAATGCTTTCATAATAACCTTTTGAAGCATATTCTAAAAACTGCTCAATTTTGACCATTTTTAGTATATAATTTAAATACATATAAATATGCTAGGTTTCCAATGCTTATCATTCTTAACTGGCAATAAAACTAATACAGATATACAAAGTGACAAATCCAATAAAATGCAAATTAGTGATATCAATGCAAAAGATGAGGTTTTACTGAAAAGAAATTGTCACTTGCTAAATAGATGCTGACTAGGAAAGGACAGGATCTTTTCAGCTTGGTATTTCTATAACTTGACATTGTATAATGACTCAATTTTACCACTGTTTTACAGGCTGGATGACTATAAAGGAATCTTTGTTCGGTCTGCCATGATGTCATTTGGTCTTCACTTTGGCACAGAGTCATCATTTAGGTATTATGTCAATTTCTGTTTTTATTAACTAGAAACAGTTAAAGCAGTACTGTTCGTTGACAATGTACTTATAAATATAAGTACACAGGCAATGAAGTTAAGTGATAGTATTCAGTAATGACGTTATTTGAGTGATCTACAGTATCTTCTTAATTGTGCTATTTAACAAAATGTAATCACAGGAGATTAAAGAAAAAAATCCACAGAGCACTGTCAGATACCTGAAAAATTTTCCAGGATCAGTTTGAGGAACAATGGCTTATATAAAATTTTCCCCAGAGATTATAAATGTCCTTTAAGCTCATTTTATTAAAATTAATGAAATAATTTCTGACAATCATTATGTTTGATGGATCAGGGAAAGAGTTCCCACTTAGAAGAAATAAAAGTGTGTGAAATAGATTCCCTGGAAAGGATGGTGTTGATTATGGACACCTTACTGTGATGTAATTTTTAAAATTCTCTTAAATTGACCAATATAATATTCTAGCACTAACATAATGGTAAAGTAGTTTTAAAATGAATTGATGATCCCTTTCTTACATTGCTTGCATAGTTAATAATACATAAAACCTCTATGCATTATTTTTCATATTGAAATATTGCAAAGATCATTGCTAATGAAGTCTATAAAATGGCACTCACCTCTTTTATTTACTAAATTCACACTGAGTATACTAATTCTTAATAAAAGTGAACTACTGCATAAATTTGGCAAATCAGCTATACAGAAAGTTAAGTGAATTGTTGATTAAGAAGTTTATTGTAATATTTTGTTAAAAATTTATGTTTTTAAGCATTAACTTTGGATAAACAAACTATTAGCTGTGTGGTGAATTCTTCCTTTGCCTGAAGTTATTACCTAATTAAAACATTAACCAGAAACATTACAATGTTGGAAGCCAAAAACAAACATGGAATGCATGTATATCATATAGTTTAGCAAAGAAGAATTCTCAAGAAGATCAACCAAATGACTAAATAAGATGGCATTGGAAGCATTGGATATAATATATCAACAATGTCATTGTGATCTGTCTCATAGAATACAGGGATGGAAATACACAAGTAGAACGTCATATTTGTTCTCTGCTGGTGAATGTATATTTTTAAACAAATGGAGTGAAAAGAGAAAAAAAAAACAAAAACTAAAGCACTGTATGTACTTAGGTTATTTTCTTAACCCCATGAGAGATGTGTTAACTCTTGAAGTTTAGAAGATAAATAGGTGGGACAAGACATGAATGTCATATTAAAACATTGTATATATGTTTTGTTTATAAAACTATTTTTTGCAAAAATGAATTCTGTTATAGAAATATATTAAGGAGCACAAGTTCCTGTAATTCTATTTAGTTTGTAAAATATTCTTATGGATGTTTCCTCTGAATTTAGTAATGTGACTAGAAAATATTCTACATCAATACTCACAAGGGCATATTGTATTATATTTGTTATATTTACATATATATATATATCTTTTTATAAAAATGGGATTGTCTTATATATGCTGCTTTGCAACTGAAGTTTTTTGTTATCTAACAATATATTTTGGACATCTTTCATTGTCATCATGTTCTTTCCATGTTGCAGAACACTATTCCATTGTGCCATGATTTGTTAAACCAATCATTTATTGATACTGGAGTTGTTTTCAACTTTTACCATAACTGACACACGTGACATGTAGTCTTAAATATATTCATTAGCTAGAACTTGGCAGCTAACTTAGAATAGGCCAAGTTATGGTTCTTTAACAAGAAAACCTAAAGTCCAGGTGCTTGATAAAACTAAAATATATTTCTTATGTACTTTGCAGGTTTAGGTAATTCCTCAGGACAGTTAACCTCCATGTGCTGTCTCAGCATTACAGGAGTTCTTGATCTTATGAGTTATTCATATCAACAAGTACTTTATATTCCTGCAACAGGAGAATGAGTTACAAAGTCAGGTACTGACAATTTTTGCTACCATTTTATTGATCTTAAAAGAAATGACATGGTTATCTTCAGCTTTATGGGGCTGGGGAAAGCAGTCATTCTCTCTCCTGATTGTAGAGACCTGGGTATTGACATATGGGAGAAATGACTAACAATGATTAATGCACTGATTGTAGAGCATGAAAGGTTATTCCAGATACCATAGAGTTTTTGACTTTAAATAAACAAGCATAAAAATGTCATTCATTAGTTCATGAGGCTCATCTTGGAATCATCAGATACCTAAGATAGTATCTAAGAGCGTGTGGGTGGAGGGGGAATGGGATCAGAAATTACACCTGATCTTGGGTTGGAAGAATTGCACCAAAGATTCCAGGATTTCATTCTGGAGAACTAAGTGCCCTGTTGAAGGACAGGCAGCAATATTTGTTATAGGGTAAGTGAATAAATGATAGTAACAAAAAGGTGACTATGAAGACCTGTTATTTCAATAGGTCATTGCAGAACAGGACTGGGAAATCCAAACTTAGTGACTCTTAGAATTTCAGAGGCTTAGAATTGACCTTGGAGACTGGCATAGCATGACTGGTTCGGTGGTTCTCCACATTTCGAGTTCTTAGTTCCTGGCACTTTTGAATACCACAAACAATAAAAGATAAATTTTAGTTTAAAAAGACAATTTTTGGAAAATTGAAAGGATTTTATAGTTATTGTCATATCATTAGGTCCACATTCACACTGATGATCTGTTTGAACAGAGCTGTTTACCGTCTTAATTATCCTCTTTTATAAAAATTCTAAAATGTCTGCAGCTGTTACCTTATCTCTTCTACCATTCATAGACAAGTATCATGATGATATCTTTTAAAAAAAAATAACATTAGTTTAAAACATTGTATAGGTTCCAGGAGCACATTTTCTCATCATGCCTACCACCAAATGCCCAGTCATCATTCATCGCCAATCTACCAGCCCCTTCTACCTATTACCTTCCTTCTCTTTTCCCTCCAGTAACTACCATTCTATTGTCATTCTGTTGTCTATTAGATATTTAATTTAATTTTATCTCTATTTCTTTATCTCCAACTCACTTTTTTGGGTTTAATATAAGTAGAAGATATAAAATAACCAGATATAAAATAAATTACTGATTTAGTAATATAAGATCTTTATCCTTTTTGTTGGTAATGTTCTTCCTTCTCTTTCCCCCCTATTTAACACCAATATATTCATCAATCTTCTGCTCAAGGGTTCCTTCCCCAAGGATGTTTTCTCTAATTTCTGTTTTTTTCCGTCTTTGTAGGGTACCATGTAGCTCTTCATCAAAGTACTTGGCATGGTTATTCTTGCACTTTTTTGTTTAATGTCTGCCTCATTCACAGTGCAGTATAAAAAACAAACTATGTCTGTTTTGTTCATTAGTCTATCCAAAGTGGCTATCATAGTACGTGGCAAATGGTCATTATTTAATAAAAGTTTTTTAGATTTGGTCAATCAGGCAGGGGGAGACTCAGGGCAAATGGACTTGGGCAGTTTGTTTCTGAGGTACCAGCAAATCAGAGAGGTAGAAGAGTGCTTTAAAGGGGATGTGAATGAAGGAGCCAACTGCTAGCCAGAAGGGAAGAAAGGGAGATTCCAAACTTACCATTAGATTTGTTGAGAAGACCTTTAGTGGAGGTCATTGAGAGGAGAGAGACAGGCATGGCAGCCAGGCCTCAAGGAGCTAAAGAAAGGAGAGGGGAAGAAAGGTGTACCAAGAATAGACTACTCTTTTCAAGAGCACTTTCTCAATGTTTATTTAGGTGCAATTAAATGCACTGGCAAAAGTATGCCATGCAAAGAGAAAAAAAATTAAAGAGGTCATCCATAGGGTGATATCTGACTGGATCAAAAAAGAAAAATATTGAGTGAAGGGAGGATATTGAATTGTGGCAGAGTGGGAACACTGATAATAGCAATGTAGGACAGACTGGGTGAGGCTTGTAGGACAGACTGGGTGAGGCTTGTAAGGGAATTTTAATCATCTAATGGGTGGGGAGATTTTGAAAGGGCAGTTTCCAGTGCAGGATGTGGACAAAATGTTGAAATTCTAATGTTTGAAACAGATATTAGGTCATGAGAGCAGTGTGGTTAATTTCTGTGTCAACCTGACCAGGTTAAGGGATCACCAAATTGTAGATGAAACATAATTTCTGAGTATGTCTGGGTGTTTCTAGAAGAGATGAATAACCTAAATCAGTAAAGAAGTTCTGCCTTTCCAATGTAGGAGTTGTCATCCAATTCAAGTATGTGGACGGGGGTGCAAATGGAAATAAAAAGTGAATGAATGATAAATACTCTCTCTTTTTGATATGGAATGTCTGTCTTCTCCTGATATTGGATATTGAAATTCCTGGGTTTTGCACCTTTGCACTCCAGAAAACACACCAGTGCTGGCTCCCTCCCCTGACTTCACTGACCTTCAGTTTGTATTGAATGATACCACCAACTTTCTTAGCTCGCCATTTGTAGACAAGTCATCCAACTTCCTGGAATTCCATAACCACACAAGTCAATTTCTGTGATAAGTCTCTTATATACTTCTATATACCCTGTTAGTTCCGTTTCTCTGGAAAACTCTGACCAATACAATCATTTGCCTTTGATGAGGTCCAGTACGGAGGAAAAGAGAATATTTGAGTGAGAGGGAGGCAGTACTATGGAGAGTTAAAGTGAACCAGTTCTAAGATCTGATTTTTAGGTTTATACTTCCTCTCAGTGAGTAGTTCTGTGAGCTTGAGTAAGAACCTCAAGATTTGTTGTGTCTCAGTTTCCACATCTGTAAAGTCATTATCTTAAAAATTAACATTGAGTGAGTACTTAACACATGTAGTCACATGTGCTGCCTACTTTACACACTGATAAATAGGATCAAGTTACAGCTCTATTCCAGCTGGGGAAGTACCAGGTTTGCCAGAGAAGCTGTGGGGCCTCATCACAGGGCTGCAGTCGACAGAAGAGTACAAGTGCCAAAAAGCAGGGAGAGAACATTGAACGTTTTATTTTATGGGAACACATTCC